CATGAACGGGGAGGGGGGGAGAGAGGGGGGGTATGCAATTGCAGGTTATTATTGGTGAGAATATATATTCTGTATTTTTTTTTTTTTTTTTTTTTTTATAAGAGGACATACAGAAATAGGTCATTTGCAATCGATGTGTGACATGAAGGATGACAACAAGTTTTTTTTTTTTCCCCGTAATTATTTGGTTTATTCGTGATAATAATTTTTTTTTTTTTGTCTGCACTGTCCCTGCCCGACACCCTGTCTGGGGACGACGCATGACTACTCACACATGCGTGTGTACGCAGGCAAAAGTCAACCTCATAGGCCGACTTTCTCGTCCTATATTATATGTATATAACTTGTTTTTCCATTGTTTTCGATGCTTGTTAAACTTCAGATTGGACAGCGATAACTGCGTTTTGTGATCAGTTGCATCTCACAGGCGGAAGAAGGTATGTCAGACTCACATGACATCATTGCGGTAGAGACGATGATGCAGTTTGCCACGCCCTCTGTGCATTATAACTCCGATGCCAAATTGCAGGACTTGAGACAGAGGGTTCCTCGTTATTTTCATGTGCATATCGATGTCGATGCAACCGTTGCTCGCAACCTCGACAACATGTAGGATGCAAGCGTCTTTCTAGACAGGCTGCATCACTCACCCCTCCTAGAAAGGGCAACGATTTTCCATCCCAACAAACCGATTGACATACAATCTTACACGGGGAAACCATTTCTGGATTGGATCACAGAACAGGAGGATGTCGATATGAATAAACACCAAAAGGGTGGCATGTACACAAAACCCGTGTTTAGGAAAAAACTGCAATCGAAGATATGTGCCGCACAATTGAGGCTACCCTTCAATGCCGCCTTGTTGGAACCGGGCGCAGCCGAGGTGTTATCCTAGTCGCAGTTGCGCTTAAAAAATTGTGTGCAACCCGCTTGTCTTGCAGAGTTGCCTGTCATTGTTGCTGATGGAATTGAGTACTTCCTTCTGGATCAAATTATGGATTTGACCAGGAGAAGTAAATGCGATAGAAATGTCATTCACTGCATCCTCCATCCTGTGATCACAGATGTGCTTCCAGGAGGGGAAACAGTGACATACTCCTTAGCTCCTCCTTCTGTGTTCAATGCAATGTCAACCTTAGTTCAAGATTGTGTAATCGAGTGCGCAACACAAGCCATATGTGCAGCTCCTACAGAGGTTGATAGGCAGCGCAAGCGACAGCAGGGTTGGCATCTCGTCGCTGCAGAGTGTAAGAAGAGTTGTGTAGAGGAGGAGGAGGACAGTAGTGATCGTAATCATCAACAAACCAAACTTGCTGTGGCCATGTTCAGAGGGGATAGCGGTTCAGAGAAAGTAGTAAAGCACGATGTGAAAGCAGAGGATTTAATCGTGCAGTGGACGCTCGAGAACTCGTCTCATTCCGCTGGCCAGGAAGAGAATCCTACCCCCAGCAAAGCCGTGGAGAGAAAATTTGAGAGGTCATTTGTTTATGATGGTGACAACAGAGAAAACCCTGTTATCATGTCGCAACATTTTCGCACATTTGATGGCAGAGGGCAGGGTGAGGGAGAGGAGGCATTTGATGCACAAGTGGACACAGAAAGTTTCGACATCTTCAACGAGAAACTTGTTGCAGATGCATACATCGTCGAGGACTTCTGCAAGATTCCGGAGGCAAAGGACAGCATTGAAGCAGAATGGTGTCATGCCGTGCTGAGGTTGGCAAGACACTACAGTGAGCCGCATCCCGCTTTACGTATCGTTGATGGATCGGCGTCCCCCGATGGAAAGTTAATGCAGTTAGCAGTCTCAACACTCATGAGAACATGTCAGACAGGGAAGGATTTTTTTTGTGGTGAGAAGTCATGGTTTGTGCTGGTAAATAAGAGGCTGTTATGTGTACATACGAAGGATGGGGCGATAACCTGGGTTGTGTAGTTGCAAGAGCAGTTGCTCGTACTGATGGTCATGATGTCCACCCTGGTTTGTCAAATGCTACAGTTATATTGTCTACTATCTTCAGAAATCTAGGGCCCGGTGCAGGGTAGTTGATCATTTTGTCCTTAACAAGGATTACAAAGATCACGCATAATAAATTAGTATAAATTTTTTGTAATAGAGGTTTAAAAGTTCGATGTTGTATTTGGTAATTATTTCAAACACGAGGAGGGAAAACGAGTTTTTTGTTTGTATTTTGCTCTTATGTTTTTTTTTTTTTTCTATTTTTTTTTTTTTTTCCATCAAACATGTCGTCACTATTATAAGCAGGACACAGTTATTTGTAATTGGAAAGTAAATTTTTATGGTTTTTTTTTTTTTTTTTTTTTTTTTTTTTTTTTTTTTTTTTTTTTTTTTTTTTTTTTTTTTTTTTTTTTTTTTGGATCGCAGACGAATACGTCCTAAATCTGGAATGCGTGAGATATAACTTTAGTGAAAGTCGCCTCGTAACAGGCATGACATCAATTATGTGTGCGAATCTTCACCTTGCTATTTGACTTATGTGATGGGAACTGTGTGTCAGTGAGGATGTGGTATGTCATGCCCTCTCGTAGAGTTTGGATGTGCACAACATGACATGAGTTCGTCGTGTATGCCTTTCGTTCCAAGCATAATCCAATGGCTATTGATCATCTTCCTCGTCTTCGTACCCGCTCGCCCATGGACCGCTCTGTGTTTCTTCTGTACATGGAGGTCGGCAGGTGCGCCACTCTCTTTTTTACAACCTCGTCATTCAAAGTCGAAAAACAGCGTACCTGCCGACCCTGCTACGCATACGACGAAAGTGGACCTTATAACCTCACCTTCAAGGTATGGTTCAGGCCTCTCTTCTGCGTATGATTCTGGTCCTTGCTGTATCGTATGTGTGTTCATAAATGCATGCGGGGGCGAGGAATAACGGGGGATTTTTTTTTTTTTTACCCGTTCTGCAAACAATGAAATTGATACTATAAACATATGTGAAGGCTTGGAAGGAGATGCAACATGAGCGGGAACTTGAATTGTGTGCCTTATCTGCGAGAACGAAAAACCGAATTGCTCTCCATCATAAAGATATGGATGTGTATGTTTGCGAAATAACAGGGGGAAAAAATAAAATAAAAAAATACTGCTCTGCAATATTGTCGACCTCGTAGATGAGTAACAACTGATATGAAAATGTTGATCTTTTCCATTCATATATTACCAGGACTTTCACACATAATATGTAACAAAGAAAGTGCAGTACGAGGAATTGCAGTTGACGATGGCGGCACACGGATACATGACATGTGATTGTGGCCGTGCATTTGGAAGTACACAAGCTATGAACTCACATCGATCACGAGGATGCCCTGCAAGTGTCATTGACCTGGCGTCATCATCTAGTGGTGATCAGAACATGGTATCGACAGGGGATGACAGAGATGATGACCCAACTCCAACAGACATTCAAGGAACCATTCACACGGGGACAGGAAGTGAACCTTTCAATTAAAATATTGACGATGATGAATTACACAACCGGGTCGCAGATCATAATGAGAATGTTATACATTATGACTCTGCACGAAAAATAGCAGCAATGATGTTATCGGCAAGAGGGGGACTAGGATTATCTCTCACAGATATGGATGCGTTACTTGCAATAGTCTGTAATCCACACTTCGGTCCTCGCTCGATACCTTTTCGCACAGGAAAAGAGTGTCTACAGTGGACAGGTCGACAAGCAGGGGTTAACGCATGGCAAGAAGTAGATATGAGGAAGGAAGATTGGCCACAAGATGCGCACGCAAAGTTGTGGTTCCGTGATTGGAAGACGACATTCTTGTCGTTACTACAACGTGGATTCAGATCAAAGAACAAATTAGTCATAGAAGTTCCGGCAGAGACGGATCAGAATAGTCCAATAACAGGTGCCATAACGGCATCGATGTGGAGGCACGTACAAAACACAGTGCGCACAGTGAAGGGGGTGGATATGAGCAGGCAACAAAGATATGTGGTTCCTTTTTCGTTGTACTCAGACAAAACACATGTGGATGACAGAATGAAACAAATAGCATATCCACTCATGATGTATGTTGCCGATAGGGCAACAGAGGTCACACTTCTAGCGTACTTGCCAGTTCTGACACACAGGCAAAAAGACGCAGGTTGGGGTCAACAATCCTCTCAGTTCAGAAAACGTAAAAGCGTAGTATTCCATGAAGCTCTCTCCATGGTTTTACAGGCTGTTAAGGACGCATCACACGAGGGTGTCGCCGTTCGTACACACGACCTTGGTGAAATTACGGTGCATCCTTTCCTTCTGAACTATATCCAAGATTATCCAGAGAGGTGTGCGCTAGCAGACGTCAAATTTGGTCGCTGCCCCACCTGCACGGTTGCAAAGTCAGACATGGACATGTACGCTGATTTTGAAAGCAGCAACAGATCAGAGGAATATGACAAAGCAGTAATACATGACTCCAGAATGTCTTCGACTCCCGACATCCGTCATGTTGCACAGGAGCGTCTTAAAGAGTGGGGATTACACAAATACATTTCTGCGAATGGGTTGTGGGGATTTTACAAAGGGCCAGAGGGCAACGCCCCGTTGATGGATTATCATTTGACACTTCAACCGGATATGATGCACACGATAGAGCATAGAATATTTTTACATATGATAGATGCCTTTCGTGAGGCCGCAAGAGAAAAACTTCCCGGAACTCCTAACACGGAAATATTAGCAGAACTAGATGCAAGGCTCTAGTGCATAAGCGAACGATGCGTAAACATATATCCAGGACTTGTATTGCCCGTACGCACAGATAGTGATTTCTTTTCCAGAGAAGGTAGATTCGAGGGGAAGCAGAATCGCTCCATGATGACCGTGGTCATGTTCGTGGTTCACAATGTAGTGAAGGGTAGAGCAGGGAAGTGGTTGACGAAGTGTTTCTGCAAGCTTATGAAATTTTATATGGCACTTTTTCGGAGGGCGTCGCACACAGTAGCTTCTCTCGATAACTCTGACGAATTGTTAGGTGATTTCATGTATTATGTGAAAACTTACATGGACCGATATCAAGCATCACGATGAAAATTGTCAAAGATGCATGATCTCAACAAGTTCAGGGCATGCGTGGAACGATCAGTGCTCCCGGACACATTCGCAGCCGATGTATGGGAGCATCATCATATTACATTTTGCAAAGATCCTTATCGATCATCAAATCGCAGACAGGCTACAACGCAGATGGTAGACCATGTCCGTCGATCTATCGCTTTGCAAGACGAAACAGAATGTATACRTCGACAAAAGATCAGGRAAACCGAGAACTGGTCTGCTRTCAGCAATGCCRAGACAARTGGAACAAACACCKTGTCTGCAAGAAACAAAGCCACACTGCGTTTGAAATGGTTTTCTTTACAGAATGTCTCCGCAAAYGCTAGWGAAGGCAGGAGWGAARAGGATGCATTCACTCTCGAGAACATATCGTATARAGAGAATTTCAKAGCTGCGTTATCAGTATTTTTCAACGAAAACGAATGTCATCCCCCCACGGACGAGACAGTGATCAAAACAAGGACGCACCTTGCAATTGCATGCACTAACGATGAAAGTATCAGGGGATCAATGGTACAAATAGCCAGAGCTTCACCACGGTTTCACAGTCGGCCTGTCCACAATGATGTATGTGTCAGAGTTGTAGAAGGAGAGCTGTGGTATGCATCAGTGGGTATGTTTTTCGTCGTACAAGGTCAGCGAGGTCAAGAGGTTCACACATTCGAGTGTGCATATGTACACTGGTATAAAGAAATCAGGAACGAGCCCTGTGTCACTACGGCATGCAAGGTTGTGAAGTGGGAGAAAGCAAATGATCGACATCTCAACAGCGTAATTTCTACAGATACTATAATCGACACTGCACACATAGTTCCATATTTCAAGAAGCCCCAATGGGGAACATGCCGATTTGCTGTGCGAAAGGAAGACCAATTCTACGTTAATAAATACATACTCTGACGGATTTCTATGGGTCATCGTATGCTTGAAGGTATAACTCTCATAACTGAGATAATTTGGTTTTCTGCACGGTCCTGCATTTCCATATCGGTGCACAAACTTGCTAACGAAGACAGACATCGATTCCGCTTTTAATTATCCTCACACTCTTACAATTATTTGACATGCTAACTGTTTTATTGCACCAGAAGGAAAAAAATCGAAAAACATTGTCAATAGACAATATGTACGAACTTGTGTAGAAAGAAGAATGTCGACTGCTCTCTCTCTCTCTCTCTCTCTCTCTCTCTCTCTCTCTCTCTCTCTCTCTCTCTCTCTCTCTCATCCCGGTGTTTATACGGCGAAACTTCAGACAATCCGAAAATGGTGGTCGGCAGGTGCGTCATTCTATTGTTTACAACCTTATCAATGTGTGTCAAATATCAGCGCACCTGCTGACCCCAGGAAAGCTTCCAAGGGAACTGACCCAGAGAAACGCCGACTGCTCTTTTTTTTTTTTTTTTTTTTTTTCTCTCTCTCTCCCTCTCTCTCTCTCATCCCGTTGTTTACACGGCGAAGCTTCAGACAATCGAAAAACGGTGGTCGGCAGGTGCGTCCATCTATTTTGTACAACCTTATCAATTTGCGTCAAATATCAGCGCACCTGCCGACCCCGGGAAAGTTTCCAAGGGAACAGGCCCCAAACAATCCGTATAGGGGAAAGAGGATAACGTGATGGTTAGTGGGGAGAAGCAAAAGGCAATAACAACATGTGCCACATAACGAACGTGACGTCTGTATTTCGAGAACCATAATCGCGTTTTCATATGCGATCACCACTTAAGTTTACCTAAACACATATCCATTCTCAAAGAGAGATGTGAAAAGAAAAGTTAGATTAAGAGGATGTGAATGTCATTTGGTGAAACCACATGAATCCTATCAACTCTTGTTCATAGTGTATGACGCTTGTACTCACAAAGACATGCATATATGTACCTGACAATTGATAAGACAACATTACAACGTTGTGATAAGCCTTTGTATTTGACTGATGCCCCCTTTGTTTCCAGATAAAAAATGTCACAACTAGCATGGAGCCGAAAAAGGACCCAGAACACAGCACACAACGCTTCTGCACG